AAAGCCACACACCTGGGGAAGAAGAAGAAGCACACACACAACAAATGCCCTAGCCAGAATGAAAGAGAATGGAGATGGATCCTGCCTTGGTTGCTCCTCCCCTTTCCATAGGCTTTACATGCCTTTCCCCTCCAAGAGCACCAAGTGTCCAAAGGTGGCCACCCTAGCTTCCCCCTGCCAATCATCCTCTAAACATTCCTTAAACAAGCACTTTCAATTGGTTTCCGGTGGGGTTGGCTGAGCTGCAAAGGACAAAAAATCAAAAAGGTGGGTGACCTAGTGTGGTCACGCCCAAGACCCGACATAATTACATCGGGCTCTCTGTTTGGTTGGCGTGGTAATGTCGCTTGAGGGCTTTGGGCGTGGTCACGCTCATGACTCGATGTAATTATGTAGGGTTCTCGGTTTGGGTGGCGTGGTCATGTCTCATTCATGCATGGTCACGCCGCTTGAGGGCCTTAGGCGTTTTTTTTTGGAGTTTGCGGCGTGGGCACTCCAAGACTTGAGCGTGAGCATGGTCACGCTCGGGGTTGGGCGTGGCCACGCCCAATCCAAGCGTGGTCACGCCGGACCCCCACAAAGGTGGACGTTTGGAAAAGTCTGTCGGAGGGGATTTCAAGCTACACGTGAACCTGGAAGACCTGAATATGAGTAGGACATTACCCCCGAACTTCCATAGAGGCCGTAAATGCGTCTCAGGGCTTTAGAAGGCATTTCGTACACGTGTTGCATCAAAAATGATTGCCAATATTTATGTATTCACAAATATTCACTGAGAGAGTTCATCATTTAAGAGACATATAGGGGGATTAACAAACCATTTTGGCAAATACAAGACCCTCACACTCGTGAGGGAATTATTTTTTGGCTCAGACTAACAAGAGATGTGGAGCAGTGCGTCAGGTAGTGTAGAATTTGTCATCTAGCTGGAATTAGAGCAAAAACACATGCTTATATACACCACTATCAATACTGGGTGGATGTAGCATGGATTTTGTTGTGAGTTCCAAGGACACAATGGAACAATGATTCATTAATTGTGGTAATTGACAGGTTCTCAAAAATGACTCATTTTGTACGGTACCACTGGATACTAGATGCAACACATGTGTTGATTTGTACTTTAGGAAGATCGTGAAACTACATGGGAAATCCAGAATCATTACCTCTGATGGAGATGTCAAGTTTTTGAGTCGCTTATGGAGGAACTTATGGGCGAAGCTTGACATTATGCTTCAATTCAGCTCAGCAGCTCATCCACAGACAGATGGTAAGACAGAGGTGCTGAATAGAAGTTTGAGGAATCTTTTCAGGTGCTTTATAGGTAATAACATAAAGCAGTAGGATTTGATTCTAACCCAAGCCGAATGTGCTTACAACATGTATATAAGTCAAACTATGGGACACACCCCCTTTGAGATTGTATATGAGCGCAACCCACTCACTCCACTTGAGTTGGTACCACTTTTTCATATTTCGAAGGTTAGTGTGGACGCTGGGGCGAGAGCACAGGAGATTCAGATGCTACTCAACGAGGGTGGGAAAGAGATCAACAAGTAGAACTGTAAATATCAGGAAGTAGCTAATAAAACTAGGAAGAAATGTCTTTTCAAGAGGGAGAACTAATAAGGATCAGATTGAAGAAAGAGAGATTTTCCATGGGATCTTTCGGTTCGAGGACCTCAAGCCTAGAACAAATAGACCTTTCAGAATCTTCAAGAAGCTGAATGAAAATACTTATAAGATTTAATTGTCAGGGGATTACAACATTTATGTTACCTTCAATGTGACCAACTTGACTCTATACTACAAGAATATAGACCGAAGGACTGATGCGGGGTGTCTTCGGCGCTTTTGCGGGACACGACAGCCTTAAGGCTCCTTGAACCTCTTCAGCCAGTCTCTGCATGGACTGGTTCAACCCAATGGAGCTGATGGGCCGATCGATCATTGCAATGAGATTGCCAAGAAATTGTTGGACCCCATTTTAGTTACCCTAGTATTATAAATATGTTGTTGTTTGTGTTTTAGGTTAGTTTTTTTTATTGTGTTTTATGCCATAATAGCTGTTGGCGTCTCCAGTATGCAAGGGCGGTGGTGCTCCTGCTGTTTCTCATTCCAAGGTGGTGACTATCCTCAACTTTCCCTTCTCTACATCCTTTCCTTCATTGCTGTCGTTGACTTTTCTGTTGCAGCCGCCCGAAAGAATAATCCCTGTGATGGTTCTACAACCGCTACCTTCCCTGAGCTTTCAACCATCCCAGACTGTCTGCTACCCTTCCCTGCCAACCTTCCCTCCATTCTAGCCATCCACCTCACAGCCTGTTGTTATCCTGCCGCAGCTCTTCCTCTACCACCCAGTCGTCGCTAGCCATCCTGCCCCAACCAATCTTCCATTTTCAGCCAACCCATTGTAGCCCTTTTCTCCTTGCTCACCCTTTTTCCGTCCAACCCTAGTCAACCTTCCACCTTCTACCAGCCAACCATGGCCACCCGACCAATTATTTGTTGTAGCCACCTTCCCCATTCGCATAACCGATACTCCCTAGTTGAGTTTGTGTGTGATGTTTGTCATTATTTCTCATTTCAGTGTATTGAGTTATAAATGCCTATTGTTTTTTCAATAATAATATTTATTTGTTTATTTTTCTTTGCGTTAACTTCGGTATCAAGGGTTTCACTCATATACAATCTCAAAGGGACTAACCTATCGGTTAACTTGTGGACCTATTGTTTACAAACTCAACTTGGGGAAGAACTAAGTTCTACTATTTGATGTTCTTCCCACAAACATGCAAGGAGATTTCTCAAATTGTGATTCAACATTTTTGTTTGTTCATTTGTCCGTGGGTGTGTAGCTAAGCTGAATTGAAGCTTTGTACCTAACTTACCTCATATAGTCCTACAAAAGTGACCCAGAAAATTCACGTCTTTGTCTAAAGTGATAGTTTGAGGCACGCCTTGAACATGGATAATCTCCTTGAAATATAAATTTACTAGCATCCATCATCTTTTGAAAATGTACGAAATGTGTCATCTTGGAGAAGCATTCTACCACATCCGTCATGATCTTGTTTCTTTAGATTTTTTTTTATCATATATGAGATGATTATGATTCCCATTTTCATATTAGGGTTCATAGATCGTAGCCTTCTGATGTTATTATGGTTAAGCTGATCTTTGTCATTGTAAATTTTTAAATCATCTTCATATAACTCTAGCTAAGATAATCCATCTTTTTTTTATCCATATTCACCCTATAGAAGATTATGCTTGTGATTGTTGATTTTATTCATTCAGACCTCTTTGCTCATACACAGTGGCAAGGACAATGATTTCATACTAAATCTGATTATTCATATCATTTTGATTTTGATTATTATTTTGCAGATCATTATTATTTCTAGATCATATAAACTATCTTCTTATATTTATGACCATGTTGATTCATATCCTCCTTATCAACTAAGGTATCAGCAGTTATCGTCTAAAAGATATTTTGGTGATATCCTTACATATACATCTTTAATGAAGATTTTTCCTTTCAGCTCCATGCACTTTTCTTATTAAGTTTTACATGTTTCTTTGACCTCACAAATTTTAGAATCTATTCTAGTTGAACTTGTGCTAGAACATTTGATAATCCTTACCTTATGATGATGACACGTATGAAGATGTTTGTGATGACACGTATGAAGATGTTTATGATGACACAAATCTTACTAATAATTAATGGAATACATACATACCACTCAATTCTTAAGCATTTACATGTCAAACACATAAGCTTCCATTTTTACATATATGCTACCCTATGTATGCATGAAAAGGTACATTTTACTTTTTAGAAGTTAAAATAGTGATATGAAAGATCTGGGTATTATGAATTTAAAAAGAAAAAGTTTAGGTGTAAGACATGTAAATACATAGGAATTGGGTGGTATGCATGTATATGCCCCATAATTATTTGATGCTCATGCTACCGACAGCTGAGTTTACTATCATGTTGGAGATCCTGTCAAGATGTTATCAAAGTTTAATTTAAAGCTTATGTGCGATGAAATGTTTTAGCTTAAGCATGTTGTTAAGCATGAGATTGTATTCTAAAAACTCCATTGCTCACAACATTGATAAACATTAGCTCTACTTGGCTTTCACCAACTTACTGTAGTGTTTTTTGCTCTAATCCACTTGCCACTATCTTAAGAGATGTATAGTACTTCAAATGAGTATTCATATACATTGGAGATTGAAATAGTTCTGCATTCCCAGCATTTATAACAAGGACCTCGGTTTTGTCCACATTACAGAGATCTCATATATGCATAATTTTTGTGCTGCTCAACTCCAAGTTTTTAAACTTCTTTAGACTTCTTTCTATTATAGCACCATATATTGGATGGTCACTTCTTCCATCAGAGTTTCAGTGGTTATTTTCATATAGTTGTGATTCTCATTTATTTGCCCTCATTCCTATTAAGTTGTAAGTTTAAGTGGTAATTTTCATGCAGTTGTAATTTCAGGGCAAAAAAATACATGAAAGAGTTGATATGAATCATTTATTTGCCCTCACTCCTATTAACTCTCACATGTAGTTGTACCTTTCATTTATTTTTTTGTTTCTTCCCATGCGATCTTGTGCACACCACTCTTTGTTGCGTACTCATCAATTCTAACTCCCTACTTGCTGATCCATATTCATCTCTGCACCTTGCATTTTGAACAATGTATTTTCTACTTGCATGTTTCCAAATAGGTACCACTTTCTCCCTTTATTTTAATTCTGATTTACAATGTTAAGTCTTTTTTATAACCTTCTTAGTGTTCTCCTTGGTTGAAACTTTTGATCTGAAATGTGATTCTCAGTAGTCCCATCTTTCTTTTGAGAATTTACAACTTATCTCTGATTGTGCTGGCTTAATGTCTTCTCCTTCTGTATTGTTTTCTCATGTAATGATAAAAATCTCATGCAAATATAAATTCTCTTTTTCATTGTGTAGTTCGAGAAGACTAGTGAACTCTCAAGGCGGGAAAGGTATTTGATCATCTTTCTGTTCTTTTTCTCGTGATATTTAGCCAGTTTTTCATTCCCTGCTGATTAACTTTAGAAGTTATATGGTCCTTTCATAAGCTATAATAATTTTTGTGAACTCCTCTGTCTTTGTTTTGTATAGTGTATGAAGTAAATAAACTAGAGATTGATGATTATCATGATGGATAATCATGGCCTTGGAAACTACATTTTAAATTAAGCACTCTAAAATAACTGTCAAATTTTCACGAACTACTTGCTGCTACTCTTTAGGAAAGACCTTGAAAATCTTGAATTAATTTCTTGTTTGCATAGTGTTAAATATCAAATCCACTTGACATTAAGATTCTTTGTATCGGAAGACAATTCAGGTTTAGTGTTTTCTGATGCAGTGTCTATGATGTTAAATTTTGAATACATGTAAAGAAATTTGAGGATTCTCTCCAAATAATTTGATTGATTGCTTTTTTTAATTGCAAAAATGCAATACTAGAATTAAAACCCTACTTATAACCAAATGATCAAAATATTCTAGATTGTTCAACGAGGATTTAAAACCACAGAATATCTACTGTCACTTGTAAGTTAGTTTTGAGAAATTGAATTTTTAATCTGCTAAATTTGAATAAAATCAGGGACACTTATCAAGTAATGTCATTTTATGCAGACGAAATAAGAATAATAGATGAAAATACTAAAATAATAAAATTCAAGTCTTACAAAGATAAAGGGTAACAACTTCTCTTGAAATTAGATATTTAGAATTATACTGCACTCGAAGGAACCATACATGAAAGTTACGTGTACAGAAATATAGACAATTTATAGATTTCTAGACGAGAAATTTTGGTTATTTCTACCACAAATTAGGACACTCAATTAGACAATCTAGTTTGATGTCTTTTGATCATTTGTTTGTTTTTTGGGACATTTTAGTGCTTTAGTATACTTAAAAATTAATTGATTTTGGACTCATTTGATTTATGTGGTCAAAGTATCATTTTGACTGTATGCATATAAGCTTTGGAGGATGTTTGTCCATCAGTTGATCTCACAAATTTTAAAGTTCGTTTCTTGTTGCTCTGTTCAGGCCCCTTTGAACAGATCATGACATTTTTCGCATTATTAAATTCATATCATCTCTGTCTAGATTTTAGTTCAGTTGAAAATAAATTTCAAATGATCTCGGAATTAATTTTAAATTTACTTTTTCAAATGTTTGCATGCTTTGAAATTTGCATTAAAATTTATCCTTTATCAGATGATTATTTTGGTGACATATGAATTGCCATAATTATGATACCCCTTTCTCAAAAATTTTGTAGTGAAATGATGCTTCTACAACCATTCTGCGACAAGTTAGCAGCTCAAAGCTGCACTTCCTTTTACATCCCAATTTTTGTAAATTGATTTATTTTATTTGTTCAATTGCCAAAAAAATTGTTATTAATGGCACTTTTGGCATTTGCTAATTTGTTGCACAATAGTGTGTGGATGCTAATGTAACAGTTTGTGGCTTTCAAACTATGTTTTTTCGGAGTTCGTGTAGCATATGATTAAAAACGTTTTATTTTTCACTTCTATCAACATTTTGTGTCTTTACTCTGATTTTTTTTTCTTTTGGTTTCACTTTATTTCCATATGAACATAAAGACTTGTCAGTCGTGTTTTAACTTTGGCTTATCACAGAGAGGAGATAGAGAAGCAAAAAGCTCATGAACACTACATGAAGCTACAAGAACAGGGAAAAACAGAGCAGGCCAAGAAAGATTTAGGTAAGCTTAATTTTGATCTCTTCCGCCTATAGCCAATCTACCACATCCTGTCATAGCTAATATTTTTTTTTCAAAGATTTACATACATACCACTCAATTCCTATGTATTTATATATCTAACACAAACTTCGACTTTTACATATATGCCACACCTTACGTATGCATAAAAAGGTGTATTTTACTTTTTAAGATTAAAATAGTGGTATTGTTGTTGTGATTTGAAGGATTTGGTTTGTATACATTTAAATACATAGGAATTGGTTGGTATATATGCAAATGCCCCTTTTTTCTATTGCAGATAAGTTAAAAACTAAATGCTAGTTCTGAAAAACTTGGTTTTGATTCTTGTTCTTCTTGCTCTTTGCAGTTTGAAAAAATGCTCAGATTTTTTATAAATCTGCTGTAGCATCGCTTGCAAATTAGAGGCTGAAATTTCTTATGAGCACAAAATGTGATTTTTGTTCATTGTGATTAAA